GGGCAGACTAAACATTTGCAGAGGTTGAAGAATAATTAACCTAGATTACACACACAAAAATGTTTTTTTTTATTTTTCAGTTATGCATTTTTAAGATCCACTTATAGAGTCATGGACTTTTTGTATAAATCCAAGGAGGAGAACATTTGTTCCACTTTTTTTATATACATTTCATAGATAAAATAATTAATATGCCTAGATTTTTCACTAGAAAATGAGTGAACGAAAGTAAAACAAAATACAACTAAAAAATAAACTTCCAGTTTAAACATTTGAAATAGCACGAAGCTTTTCTTATTTTATTCAAACACACCTACTCTGTTGTTATGACACATTAGAAAGGTATTTCACTTGACCCATATATTTCCTGTTTTGATACTGTGAATGTGTAATGTTATTATATCAAAATGTAGCCTAAATATATAAAAAATAATGGATCTGTAGCGAGACTGATGTATCAATATGTTTGCTTTATACGTATTCAGGACAAAACAGTCAACTCAAACACGCTTGAACGTAAAAAGGTGTACCCGATTTTCTCTTTTGATAAGATGAATACCCATTTTGGTTATTTTACCCCAAAAACTACATAAAATGTAATTTACTGCTTGAAAAAGATCAATCAGTATAATTCGACAATTAGAAGAAAACATTTGGAATATCATAAATCATCACTAAAAGAATCCCAAACCTGATGAAAGCACTTTGTGTTTCTAGCTCAGATTTTGAATTAAAATTTATAGAAAACCAACTAACGAAAAACGAATTTATATTTTTTTTTCTACTTCTGCTGAGTCAAACAAAGTTTTACGAGCGGAGTCTTTTTGTTCTATGGGATATCCATCCTATTTGCAGGGTCGCCATATTAAAAATATATGCGTTTATTTTTAAATATAATTTACCTCGTTAATATAGTTATAAATGTTAAATTAAATTCATTTAGTGTATTTTGACATTTTGATACGGTCCCTCTATTTTTTTAGTCAGTGTAGGTATCGGTGTCGGTATAAGTGTCCGTATAGATGACTTTTCGAAAATGTCTATTTAAAAAAAAACTAATGTGAATTGATGTGTCAAGTAATCATCGATATTATGCTTGAGTATAAATGAATAGACTGATTGAGTTCACACTGACATTTACAGAGAAGAATTTCAACCCATTCAACTATCCTTGGTTTCGGTTTCGGTATCGATTTCGGTTTCGGTATCGGCTTATGGTGAAGATGTCTAATAGGAACAGAAAATCAAGAAATAAGACAACTACATGTTTATAAATAGGCGGAGAAATGGAATATTCACATTTAAATACACTGTAAAAATCGTGCTTAGAAAATAAACACCCGTATTACATGTTTAGTTCTATACGTGTTTATGAGTATGTTTACTATTTTAACACATTTCTTAGTAAGCTTATTACATGTACACATGTCTTGAATATATATCTAAACACTTTTAAATGTGTTTGAGAAGTAAAGTGTTTAAGACTAAAACACTAATTTCTAAGCTGAAAACGATCCTAAACACTTCTTCAACCTAAACATGTTTAGAAATGAGTAGACCAAAACACAAAAACTTAACATAAACCAATGAACCGTGAAAATGAGGTGATGGTCAGATGAAACCTGCCAGAGATATGTTTAGACCTTAATATGTAAAAAAGTGCACAAAAATGTGTTTAGAATTATGTTTAGGATATAAACACCATTTTTACAGTGTAAAAGTAAAGCTTCTGAATATGACAACTCGTACGTGGAACTATGCAATATTCGGCAAAACCTTGTTGAGAAATATTACAAAGAAAACACATCCGTCCCATATACTGAAAATGAGATTCAAAATTCAATTGAAAACTCGCATGTAGGAAAATCTCCAGATGAATACGGTCTTATGGTAGAACATTTAAAGAACGCTAAAACAGTAATAACACCAATATATTAACTAAATTATTAATAATAATAATAATAATAATAATAATAATCTTTATTTCAAGAGGGTATGTTCAATTAGTACAAACACTATTCTCCCTTGAGGCCCTCACACTCCACTCACAATGCATCACACAATTTCATCATAACAAAGATAAACATAAGAAAACATAATCAAAATTGATACATAATCATTTAAATAATTCCAGGATTTTCAAGTAAAAACTTAAAGCAGTTTGTTTTAAAAGTATTTATGTTTGACATGTGTCTTAGTGCTTCTGGTAGTTTATTCCATAAAGTTGGGCCAGAATATGAAAAAGATCTTCTAAATGTGTTTGTTCTTGCCTTTGGTATATTAAGTAATTGGGTAGTATTTGATCTAAGTTGCATTCCATTTTTATTTGTAACATAGGAGATTTTGTTAGACAAATATTCTGGGACAGATCCATATAAACATTTATGAACATACATGTATAAGGCCTTGTGGTAAATTACACGATCAGTAAATCGAAGCCATGATAACTTTTTAAACATTGTATTAGATGGGGTATCATAAGGAAGTTCAAGAATAATTCTAGCTGCTCGTTTTTGAAGTTTATCTAATCTATTTGTATTTTGGTCACTGGTGTTTCCCCAAATTGTACAACAGTAATTCAAAATAGGGAGAATATAACCATTAAAGTATAACTTTCGTGTTTCCAGGGGGAGGGATTTCTTTATCCTAGACAAAAGATTTAGCCTGGTACTGATTTTTGTGCACAAAGTGTCAATTTGGGCTGTCCACTCAAGATTTTCATCAATAAAAACCCCTAGGAGCTTTTCGCCATTAACATCTCTTATGTGGGAGTTACCAACAGTCAAATTAAGAACATGGTCTGTTTTAGCTAGTTTCTGTCTAGAACCAATAACCATAGATGTAGTTTTTGTTGGATTTATATACATCTTATTTCCCTTGCACCATTCTTCAATTCTGTCTAAATCATTTGTAATGCTGTCCTGGATGGTATTGAGACTACGACCTGTGCAGTGAATGGTAGTATCATCTGCATAGAGGTTATATGAAGGGGCAAATCATTAATGAACAATAAAAATAAAAGGGGGCCTAATATGGAGCCCTGAGGTACTCCAGATTTTATTTCTAGTGCCCTTGACTTGATTGTCCCATTTTCAACTTGTTGGAATCTATGAGATGGATATGATTTAAACCAGTTACATGATAAATTTGAAATTTGAAATTTTGTAGCACTGCAGTTATTCAACAATATCAAGGAGAACAAATTCAATTCCAAAAGCCTTCAAAACAGGAATTCTAACCCCAGTTATAAAGAGTGGAAAATATTCCCTGGATGTAAAGAGCTACCGTTACTCTTATTCTTGGAAAGGTATATGAGCGGTGTTTTCCAAAGAAGCTTCAATTACAACCTGGCCCTGATCTACAATTTGGTTTCACTAAAGGATTATGTCCACTTATGGCTAGTGTATTTTAAAATAACTGAAGCAAAAACTCCCGAGGAATATTCTTATATTTATAACGACAGCAGATGTTCAATCCGCTTTTGATGTAGTCAAACATATTATACTTTTCGATAAGCTATTATACCAAAACATTCCACCAGATCTCTGGCAATTGATTAAGGAACTATACACGAGTTTAGAATTCAAGGTAAAATTGATGGGGAATACTAGTTGCACTTTTAATATTAGACAGCGAGTAAGACAAGGAGGCATCCTCTCTACCAACCTAAATAAACTGTACGTTCAAAACCTACTCGAAAACTCAAAACCAACTTAGGGACGCCATCAAAAGATCGATGTAGGATAAAAAAAAACTTAATTCACATAGTTTGAGGTAAGGGGGTAAAAGAAGCTGCAAGTTTTGTTATCCTACATTGATTTTCTGGTTGCAGAAATAGCGATCATGCTGGATAATCGATTTTTTTTCAAATTAAGTTACCAATGGGGGTAGGGGGATCTTCGAAAAAAAAACTATGTGAATTAAGTTTTCTATCCTACATTGATCTTTTGATGTTTTCCCTTAATTGCATTTCACCTTAATAATATCTTTATATGATCCCTTAATTGTGCAGATGATATTGCCCTACTGAGTTTCTATCCATCTGAAATGCAACTAATGCTCGACATCACAGCTAGATATGCTGATCAACATTAATATAACATTCATCTTACCAAAACTAAAGTGATACAGTGTAGTACTAACAACAACGCCAACCATCAATGGGTACTGAAAGGAAACGTTATTGAACTAACAAACTCTACGACACATTTTAAGGATGTACTCATTACAAGCAAGATCGAAATAGGGGACTTAGAAGCTTTAACAAATTTGACTGAAATTTAACTGAATTTGATCAAAATGTGATGGCTGCTGACACTCATCACTCTACTTTTGATAATTATAAAGTTGTTTTAGATTTTGCTAACTGTAAATAGTGTGAGTACAACGTTCCAAGACTTTTACCTAATATACCCTCAAAAGAGGGATGTTTCTATATAAAGAAGTTTATACAAAGAAAAAGAAAGAAGAAAAAACCTGTTATCTGTCTGGTACTTTCACGTGGTATTTTCACCTTTATAAATGTCACTCCCGTATGGGATAATAATAAAAATGATTTTTGATATACCATGATTACCTTAACAGTAGTACCACATAACCAACCCAGAATCTATATACGTTATCCTGTATTTATTGGTGTTTGGAATGTTTGAGTCACATCATTGTTTCTTCAGTAGCAGTAGCGATAATCGTTTGGTGTGTAATAGCAAAAAGTTCTTGCAGGTCACTCTATGTCCTCTATTCTGTCATATTTCAGTTAAATAAGTTGCTTTTAATTTTTGGAGGATGAATCAAGTATAAGTTACACTAACACATCCTCTTTTTAAAGTTTTTTAATAATGTTCTTGCTATAGTTGTTACATATATATTGTTTTATGCTATAAAGATGATTTTCTCTTACTTCATCAAGAGCACTACACTCTAACAGGAAATGCTTTATGTCTTCTTTGCTAAGTGCACATAGAAAACACAGGTAATATCCTTTGTTACCCCTAAATTTTCCTTGTCATGTTGAAGCGTATACATTCTTGTCGCTAGCTTTGCTTTAAGTTAAGCTTTTTTTTATACTTCTTATACAGTATTTGCAGAGTTTTCTAGGTTTCATGAGTTTTTTTTACGGGGTTGTGTTTTACGTGTTTAAATTTCATTGCTGATTTTTCAAATTTTCCTTAGTTCCATGTCATTTCCAAAAAAAATCGAATTGCTTGTTTAACAATAACTTTCCATTTCTTTTTATAGTAAGAACAGTTTCTATCAGTTTTTCAGCCGTTGTTAGTTCATACTTTGAAAGAGCAGTCCTCAATCTACAAAAAAAAAAACGAATTTGATTGTTCCTTTGACATTACCAATTACCTTTCAAATTGTATAAATTTGAATTCAATACTGTATTTTTCTTGAATAACCGCAGTGAGCAGAAGCCTGTATAGGCTCTATTCCAAGCATGACCTATGCTGCAGCATTAGCTGTTCGTGTTGGTAGACCTTGTATTTGTCGACATATTTCAAGTTGAAGTCGCTTCAGTTTCTGCTCTCAATTTTTGGTTGCAACTCAATGTCCCGCAGTTAAAATGACATATTTGATCTTTCTACATGCTGTCGGACAAGCAATACATTGCGAAATATAACCATATAATGATACTGACAACATCTGTTATGACCTTTTTACGGCAATGATTAATTAAAAAAAATAATTGTAGACTAATAGTTTATCCATTTTTCTAAAAATATTAATATTTTTCACTTGCCAACTTAGTTACTACCGTAATTTGATTTGACGATGCAAGCCATAAGTGAATTTGAAAAGTGTTTTATAGTTTATACAATTTGTTTTATGTATATGGACATCAATACCATATGTGGAGTTCAAAACAGTCGTTCCCAAGTAACGTAAATATTTAAGGTAAAAATAGTAAGCTTCAAAACTATACTCTAGTTCAGTTTTTGATCAAAATTTGTGAGTCGACAAAACATATACACAGCTACTTTAGTACAAGTAATCTTGATGTACAGTTCTCAAGATGCATATCGAATGTACATCTGTAAAGCTGTATATTAACTGTACAGCTGTAAAGCTGTATATAAACTGTACATCTGTAAAGCTGTATATCAACTGTACAGCTGTTAAGCTGTATATAAACTGTACATCTGTAAAACTGTATATAAACTGTACAGTTGATATACAGTTTTACAGCTGTACAGTTTATATACAGCTTTACAGATGTACATTCGATATGCATCTTTAGAACTGTACATCAAGATTACTTGTACTATTGTAGCTGTGTAGTTGTAAGAAACCTATATAGTCAAGTATAAAATTAAACATATTTCGATATAACTATTAAATATTTATGATTATTCCTTTTAACATGTGCATTTACCACCATAATTTGAAAATTAGTAGTAGGCACTTGGTCATTTTCTTTATACACTCACAGGTACTTAGCGCTTGGACCCCATTTGTTTTTTGTTTTTTTGTTTTTTTGGCGTTTAATGATTTTGATTAAAATAATATTCTTTAATATTTCAAATTACTTTCACTTACTCAATGTGTTCTTGCAAAGTCTTTCCTTTCCGGTGATACAATAACAGTAGTTTATATATACTGCCCTCTATTCATATTTTCCATAAGGCAGTATATATATAAAAATTGAATATCGTACATCTGCTCGCCTCCTGCACATTTTATGAACCATATTTCCGTTAAATCATATAAAATCATATAATTATATGTCATATTTCAACTCAACCTTGATCCTTATCTCAGCCTTGGCATTCAAGAAGAGATGAGTATACTGTCTAAATCAAGGTTAAGTTCACCGATGATTATCATAACATTGCAAAAGGTATTAATTTAGGTTATCTTTGTAATCAGACTGTTGAAGAGAACCCTATATAAAGAGTTTTAGCGAGGGCTGTGATAATTTTGATATACTTAGTTCAGTAAATTAATTTATATGGATCATGAGCAACGAGGATAAACAATTATCTTTATGTTATTTAAAACGGTAGCTCATCTAAGTAAAATAGAAACCAACACTTCTTAGTTGGAGGGGGTCCAGAAGATTTAAAAAATAAATAAATTAAGTACTAAATCAACATTTACTCATTTTCTCTCATTATGTTTACTACATCTTTTTGTTGTTGTCGGGAGGGGGCATTTTTCTTATTATTGAAATCCATGAAATGAAAACAAATCATTATATTTTCTTTATTTGATCTGTAATATTCATTTATGCACGATTTATTGTAATTAATATGCTCCTTTTGGGTACTACTGTGTTAATCAAATACAGTATCTGTATCTATGGCACGCCATCTATTAGTTCTCTTAGATTATTCTACTGAATCGTGAACATAAAATATCTCTTATTATTTTTAGTAATGAGTGTATTTTCAGTACTTACAACTTACGACTCTCGTTAGCGCCGTGTATCACATAGGGCGCGAGTATTGTGAATAGAAAGGCATTTTTCAAAGGAGCCAAATATGCCAGCATTGTTTTACAACTGATTGGGTTTTGATGGCAGATCTTTGAATATTTCTGTTTAACCATTTACAACTTTTATAGACTTGGACGATTTAGAGCTCGCCATTTTGTATAGACACCTGTCTATTGTTTAAGACTTTATGTTGCCCTCTTAATGTCTTATCTTTCTTTTTGTCGTTGGGTTGCCGTCTCATTGACATATACCTCATCTCTCCCTTTATTCCTATTATGCGAATCGCTTCCAGTAGCGGCAATGTAAAATGTGCATCTTTACTAACACACGGAAAGTATTCTTTGACGTTTGATACGGTAGTGTTTAATTTTGATTTGCTTCAGGTACCAGTGTTTTTGTTGTCTACTATATCATTACATACTCTTATAAGAATATATGTATTTACTCGATCACCGCGCGCGGAAGTGTTTCATTTGAAAACTTATTTTGTTATAGTTCACACGAAACACATATCATACATATAAATTAGGCCTTTATCGCTCAACTGATGTTTTTGTTGCAAAATTCTGAACTTTACACCTTTGCTATATGTGGGACACCTGAGAAAAAAAGAGTTTGCTATGTATTTCCAGAACGTTCGATTTATATAATATCCGGAAATTCAGCTCCGTATGGAGTTCGGTTGGAAGATTTATTAAGTAAAATTTGGTCATCGTTTATCATTTTCGGTACCAAACTTGTATTACATCTCCAGTTTCCGGTGCATGTCAGAAATGGAGTGAAATAAAATAGTCCATTTTTTTCTGAATTTTTTTCTAGGCTCAATTTTTTCTGTTTGATTAAAAGTTTATGCTGAATTAAAACATCTATTTAGATTAAAAAAAATATTGCATCTATTTTGGGATATCAAACCAGGAAAGTGGAAGGATATCATGTTTACTGGAAGTGGTGCGGCCTAGTAAAAACAGCGAACAGAATGTAGAAAAAAGTAGTTTTGACTTCAGGGTTTCATAACTTTTTACTCTTCGTGGCATGAGGCACTTTTTTTCCCGTTAAATCACAATTTCACATTACTACATACATGATATGTATATGAAAAAAATTTTCTATGTAGCATTTTATTTTAAAAAAATTTCAAAGACCAGCTGTTTTGCATGTAAGCCTATGGAGCAGTCAATTACAAGACTGCAACCTTTCTTTTGGATATTTTATGAAATATTTTGCATCATAGTCATAGAAAAGGTAAGAATTTGTATTTATGCAAACATTTCTAGTCGTCAGTGAAATTGGGTTTCGGTAGATCAGTAGAATAACCTGTCTGACTGTCAGATTTAACAGTGACGTCTTTGAATGCTTTTATAAGTCAGCTTTAAATAATGAGAACTGGGACCCGTATAAGTAAAGTTCATGTTAATTGCGCACACCTATATAAGTTTTATTCTTTATAAGTATTTATACTAATATTATTACGTGAGATGAAATTCTCACTAGCCTATGGCTAATTTTTTACCCCAAAACAAAGGTACAAAATGAACAATGGTACATAAAAATGTAGGTATAAAAATGGCTTCAGCGTTGTGAATACCCTTAATTTCAAGACATCATAAGGGGACGACCATTTTATTATTGGGGAGGGGGAGGAGGATTTTGAAAATGAATTTCCTTGAAAATGAATATCCTATCCTTGGAAAAAAATAAGCATGTGTACAAACAGATGAAAAGGAATAGTCAATTCGCAAAAAATCCTCCTGCCCCCCCCCCCCCCCCCCCCCTCAGAAAATCAAATGGTCATCCTCTAACATGTCTAATTATTTGGACTAGTGGCCTGGGACATCCTGTTTTGAACGCTTTCATATATCAAATATTGTAGGGGTAAACTAGAATAGGAAGTGAGGGAATACCGAAATTTGTGTGCTGTTTTCGAATAACTTACATGTATCATATTTTTGATATAGTACTATGAAACTCAAATACAGTGTACTATTTTTGGGAGATTATATCAAAATTATAGAAAAATTTACCAGCTCTAACTCAAAATATGGACAATTTTGTTTTATGTTAAGGGGACCTATAATTCAGTTTGACAGCTTTAGGCATACTAATTTTGAACATTTTTCAACTGGACCAAATCATTACTTTACCTTAAAATTCATTACCCAGTATTTTTTTTTACATGTAATTTCATCCCCCTCCTTACTATTTTATGCATAAAATGTAAAGAAATGAATTTGGAAGATGTAAGAAAAAATACTTCGACTCCATACTGGGAGTGTTAACCAGATTAGCTGTTGCTTCTGATGCATCCATTTCATTGGCATGTCTTCTCCGAAATTAAAAATGAATTTATTGACACCACAACATTTATTTACTGAAAGTAAAATATGGAAAAGTCAGTATAAAATTATCAATACCCTCTCTCTCTCAATCTTCATCTATCTTAAATTTTTTTCTTTCAATAATTTGTTTTCGTTTTTTTTGTGTGTGCATGTAAGTGCTTTGTGTCAATTGTAGCTATGCCACTGAATTATGAGTCATGAAAAAAAGGGTACACCGCAAAACCCTACACACAAGTATAATGCATGTAGGCCGCAATTGTAAACTTATTTGCTGATTGTAGGATAAAATTGCATAGACCTTTACCTAGATGTAGTCCACTCGTCCATACCAGCTTCGTGTATATATATATTAACTTTTTCACTCCTATAAATATTGATGTAAGTGCGAAAAACTTGCATACAGCCATATAACAGTGTATAATATTTGGAGAATATACATTAATTAACAAGTTGCAACTTTTCGGCACAATTTCACCATGTTCACACTGAGGTAAATACATGTACTAATATATATATATACATGCACATG